CTGGGTATATGGGGACGTGTCGCCTGGTGCTGGCTTGCGGCTGGCTCTGGGGTGGGGCACGGAGGCTGGGTATATGGGGACCTGTCGCCTGGCGCTGGTTTGCGGCTGGCTCTGGGGTGGGGCGCGGGGGCTGGGTATATGGGGACGTGTCGCCTGGTGCTGGCTTGCGGCTGGCTCTGGGGTGGGGCACGGAGGCTGGGTATATGGGGATCTGTCGCCTGGCGCTGGTTTGCGACTGGCTCTGGGGTGGGGCGTGGGGGCCGGGTATACAGAGACCTCTCGCCCACGGGGAATGCCGGCTTCCCCCATCCCTGGGCAGGGGGGTCCGCATGGAACAGAAGATGAGGGGCTGTCAATCCTCCAGCCGCCCCGCACCCCCCACTTCCCCGTCTCAATCCTCCGCTCCAGAAATGGGGCTAAGGGGGGGGCAGGGCCCGATCCTGGGCAGCGCCTGGAGCGTGGCGGCGTCTGTGGTCTGGCGTCTCTTGCGCAACCTGGTCTACGCTCCCCGCCCCCCCCCCAATTCATCCCCACGGCCACGTACCCTGGGCGGGAAGGGGGAGGGGGCAGCCCGGGCCGGAAATGAACTCCAGCTGTTCGCTTATCGGCAGGATGCGGCCGGCCGAGTCCCCAGGGGGCCAGATCGCAGGCTCCGGCCCCCTCCCCAGCTATACTGCTGGACGGTGCTTCCCTCGCAGAGCCGGGGAGAGAACCCAGGCGTCCTGCTCCCAGCCTCTATACAACCAGAACCCGCTCCCCTCTCAGAGCCGGGGAGAGAACCCAGGCGTCCTGCTCCCAGCCCCCCGCCTCTATACAACCAGAACCCGCTCCCCTCCCAGAGCCGGGGAGAGAACCCAGGTGTCCTGGCTCCCAGCCCCCAGCCTCTATACAACCAGAACCCGCTCCCCTCCCAGAGCCGGGGAGAGAACCCAGGCGTCCTGCTCCCAGCTCCCCCACCCCCGCTCTAACCACTAGACCCCACTCCCCTCCCAGAGCTGGGGAGAGAACCCAGGAGTCCTGGGTCCCAGCCCCCACCCTGACCACTAACCGTGGACGCCTGATGTAGTGAGGAAGGGTGGGTGTATCTCACCCACTTTATCTTAATTAGCTAAACAATAACCCCCCGTCTGGGCCCCTCCCCCCAAGGTGTGACTGTCGGGGCGGGTCTGGCTGGCACCTGAGCATGGGGGGAGCTGCTGTGTATCTCGGTGATTCCCCCATCTGGAGGCAGTGGGACATGAGCCCCCCGCTGGCAGCAGTAGTAAGGCCGTTATCTGCGCTGCGGGGCCCGGGCCCAGCCCCAGAGCAGGGCGCTTGGCTGGGGGTTCATGTGCCCGACACAGAGCAGGGCACCAGACCCCCCCCCCCGGCCGGCCCTGGCTCTCAGGGGTTAATTACCAGCCCCCCGCCCCGTCGGAGGCTGGCGGCAGGGAGCCGGGCGGACCCAGCGCCTGCCCCCTCTCCGGCCCCCCGCATTTCCTGCCGCCGGGTCCAGAGCCGCGGCCATGGGAAAAGAAGAAATGAGCCCCGCCCCCCGCTCTAACCACTAGACCCCGCCCAGGCGAGAACCCAGGAGTCCTGGCTCCCGGCTCTAACCACCAGACCCCACTCCCCACCCAGAGCCTGGGCTGTACAGTCCTCGGTCTGCCCAGATCCAC